CTGACGAACACTTCCGATGGCAAAAATACGTTTGCAACCTCCCGACAACGTGGACAATCGCCGAAAAAATGATCGAGTTAATGGCGAGATTGATGATCCGGGATGAGTCTCAAATAGAGACCGGAGCTTCTTTTCGCCGCGACATGTACGTGTGTGTGTGTGTGTGCGCGCGCGTACGCGCGTGTGTATGTATATAATACACCCGAGCGGGCACAAAATCGCACGATAATTAATCAACCATTTTCATCGGCGAGAGAGGAATATGATAAATCCGCGAAGTCGATTCCGACGATAGGGGCTAGCCGGTCGCGCGTGATTAACGCCGGCGTCGCCGTAATAACGGCGTCGTCGTAATCGATAATAAATTAATAACAACGACAAGTCATCGCGCGGGGATCGCGCGCGCGCGCGCGCGAATATTCTCGCGAAATATACGACGTGCTTTCTCTAATAAATTCACGCGCACGGTAATTAACGTCACGCACGGACATTATTGCGAATACGCATGTCGGAGAAAGCCGCGCCGCGCCGCGGTGTCGTCTTGCGAAAATCGCGTGTATTATGCCCGCGCGATAATTGCGTTTGTGTTAATAAACGGAGAAAACTGTTGTTTGATTTTTAAGAAGGAATCGACGACTTGTGGGAAGATCCCGAACGGTGTTTCAGAGAGAAATCGTAAATTATAAAAGCCCGCCGAAGATTGCGCGCCGTTGTGCGCCTCGAGATATTATATCAATTGTACATACATATATATTATATCGATTGTGGGCGAGATAAGAATCCCGAGAGATAAAGCGCGACGATTACACCGAGGCAAGAGGGAGAGAAGAGGTGTGGAAAAAAAAATTGTTCTCAATTATTTATTTGCTCGAGACCCGCTTTCGACCATGTTCCAATTTGCATCTTTTGTTCGAGACTCGATCTCTCCCCTTGTGTTGCGCCGTGTGTCTTTAATCGCGCAACGCAATTACACTCGCTGTGCAAGCCGTTTAACTGCTAATTGCGGCGCACTAAAACTCGCTCGCGTATGGTCCAGCCGTAAAAACACGTCCTCATCTCGCGCGTAATTCAGCCATTTCGATCGCGAGGCTGATTTACATACATACACACACACACACACACATACACCATTTCTATCGCTCGATCTGAATATGGTAATTGTCCCGTGCAAAATATCGCGAGGATATGCTCGAAATATTAATTTTACACAAAGTATTTGTAAATTAATATTTGCGAAACGTACAAAACGATTTGATATTTGATGCTTTCGCGGTGTGTAGTATTAACATACAAAGATGTTATACTCAGTATCAGGCTGCTCTTTAAACCCTGATGAAGTGAGAGCTGTAATGTTCACGAAACGTCGGTATAAAAATGACACTAACGCGGTTCAAANCCGAAAAAACATCTTTGTATGTTAGTACAAACGATTGTTATCGAGAAAGTTTAGAGATTTTACACTTGGATTTTTTAATTCGATTCTCCGGTCGATCCTCGGAACGCCTCATTTCGAACGATCCTCTCGGCAATGACCGCTGCGGTTATGCAAATCGAGATGATACACCATTAACGATATCCCTCCGGCGCGTCCTTCTCCGCGGAAGCCAATCAGCGTCGCGAGAGGCGCGTAATTAGCAGTTACATTATATATCCTTCGGCTTTCGTGCGCGCTGCTGCACACACGCGCGAGCATATAGCGCGCGCAACATGCGCACAGCACGCGCATACGCACGCAACACACACACACACACACGTCGCTTGTTCTCGCGCTTGTTAAGATTCATAAGGCGAGGCTACACGCGACCCGGTGGCCCTCATTAGAGCTCTAATTGCGTGCGATTATCCCCGCAATTATCCGAGAATACGTTACGAGTCGCGCCGAATCGCGCCGCGGTTTCGCTTCTCGAGAACATCGCGCGTCACATCTCACAAACTCGAGTGAATTATTCAATAACAAGTAGATGCACTTTGTCTTTCTTTAGAATCATAAATTTAAAGAGAAAAATCAAACCAATAAGAGCCAAATGTAAGCGTACGCGTGTTGAAAAAACAAACTTATTGAAATATAATCTCCATCAATTTGCTCGTTTCTTTATTTTTCGATTGTTGCTTTCGAAAGTATTTTAAATTTTCGATTTTTTGACGTTATCTCAGCCAAGACATATTCGCTCGCAAAGAATTTTGCAATTTTAAACGTACGCCACATAAGCACGTACATGTGAAAACGTAACTTTGTGTTGACTGATAATCCGGAAAGTACGTTCTGAGTCAGCGGGAAGGGCTCTATCTCGTCGGAGAATTTGCATGGATATACTCGCGCTTCTTGTCACAACGACGTATCGTCGCGGAGGCGACGCGGTCGGACGTTATAAAGTAACAGTTAATAAACCCGTGGCGTTTCTCTCGATATCTTCGGTGTCTTCGAAGCGCGTTGCGACGGGGAAAGACGATTGTCGAACGCTGGAGGTGTGCGCTAGATGGTGTTGTTCTGCCTGGAAGCGCGAAATTCCAGCCGATGTCTCGTTAACGCGACGCCCACGACGGAGGTTCGCCGGGGAAAGAAACAAAAAAAAAAAAAAAAAAAAAAAAAAAAAAAAAAAAAAAAAAAAAACAAGCCGTAACTAATCTCGCGATCGCGCCTGTGCCTTCTCATGCGTGACGATATTTAACGCGTAAAGTAGACGGAAATTATGCGTTATCGGTCGTTCGCGTAACCGCGTTTCCACGCGGAGAGTAGAACTTCAACGACGACGGGAGAGGGTTGATTGTGTGTGTAATTGCTTATTCACGATCATGTTTCGCGATTCGATAAATACGTGCTTCTATAAATACGGAGTCGTGCTTTGAGAATTAGCAAGCAAAAACGAATCGATTTTTTCGCGGAGTATAAACGAAAGGAAATTTCGCGCGGAGGTCGGTCGAGCAAATGGTTTTTTTTCTTTTTAACGTTGTTTTGACTTATCTTGGTTGTTCGTGTATGCAAAAAGTTTGCGTCGGTATAAACCGACGCGACGGTTTTGTGTCTAAGTTATTTATGTATAACCTTCTTTACATTCCATTTGTTTTTTTCGAATACTTAAACCTTTAAATTGATCGTAACTATGGAAAAGAGCCTCGCATGTATTTCTACAACAAGGTCTGATCAACAATTTTCTTTACACACGTTATATTGTGTAAAAATACGACTTACTGGGAAACCAATTTTCTTTCTTTGTTTATTTGTTAAAAAAAACGTAAGAAATATAATTTCTTATTTTCTGCCGAAAATTATTCTTTATTTAACTGTGATAAATATAGTGCGATAATAAATTTATAAACACGCGTAATTCAAGTTCTTACTATACTTAAAAAAAAAACTCCAAAACGCGGTTTTGCAATTACAAATTCGAATTATTCGTCTTAATGTAAAACTCGAATTTCGCGACGCGGTAACAAAGCAGCAACACACGCGCAAGAAACGTCGCCGTGCTGCAGTTTCCGCGAGAGATGTAGTCGTGGATGTGCGACATACAAGGAGAAAGATCGCGGCGAGAACGAAGACGAGAACACGCGGCAGAAGCTTGTTTGGAGCATCCCGACCGCGGTGATTCAAGATGGCGTCTCTGCGCTCGGTGATTCCCCGGTTTTCTCTGTCTCGCCCTCTCTCTCTCTTCCCCCTCGGTTTAATTCCCGATACCGTCACAACCGCCCCTTGCCATCTCGCGCCCTTTTTTGGTGCGCGTTACGCCCATGGAATACGTAACGCAAGTGCGCGCGACCGCGTCGTGTACACATGTAGGCGCAATATGGAGCGCACTACGTGTGCGATTTTATGTTCGCTTCGCCGATGTGTATTTGTGTATATGTGTGTGTCTGTGCGTGCGTGCACGGAACCGTATCGAGCACCACCGAAAGACACGCGGTCATCCCCTCGGTCACGGATTAGCATATCAATCCCCTCGTTATGCTATCCCTGAGCGCGGTCTCGCTCTCTCCCTTCCTCTCTTTCCCGCTCATGATTCGCGCCATTAAGACTCGAGTACATAGCCATTGTTACCTTCGATCGCCGAGAGAGTTCTATTTCATCCCCCCCCTCCCTCCCTAGTCTATCACGCATATGAGAATCCGGCTATTTTAGTAGTTAAGATAATGGATATTTCTCACGGAATATGTGAGAACTTTTAATTGATTGACAAAAGAGAGAAATGATAGATTTTCTTATCTCTAAATCTCGATAAAGTTTTTACTAGTAACTTCGTAACATTTGTTAGTAACTGAAAATGTTTCGCGCGCGCGCGCGTGTGTGTTTGTTCAGTGTTGCGTAAATACATGCAAAGAGATTATTTTGCGAAACGTTTTTTAAACGTTGGGCGCTTTCGTGTGTTTTGCCGGCGAAGTGTCAAGCGCGCATTGCCGCGCGATTACGGTAATTGCTTTTTTTTATGAATCAAGAATGTATCGCGCGCGGATCGTACAGCGTAGCGTACAAAGTGCAAATGAGATTACCACGCTGCGAAACGAATGGAGAAAACAATAACGATCGCCGCGTCACGCGAATAAACATCTGCGGGCGAGATTGCGAGACGCGTTCTTCTCACGGCACAATCTCCGCAAGAAGTCGCAATCCTGTTTAACAGAAACGTCCCGAGAATGTAAATGTCAAATCACGCCAACGGCTTTTTGTTAATTCTTGCTATGGATATCTGTGCGTCTCAATTTTCTGCGACGGAAAATACACGCGGCTGCGAATCGAATTAATTTAATTTTATCTTCAAATTCTATGTTGATCAATAAAATTATTTTTGTTTAATCTTGTTAAATGAAAAATCGTTTCTTTAACAAAACAATTTGGTTTGAAAGGCATTTCTCCATTTCGAAATGGCACAAATTATCTAATTATCGAATGTCGCGAGACATTTTGGATTAAAAATCGTATTAAATCGATTAACGTCGAGCTTTAGTTTTACGACACGTGTAACATTTCGAGTGGCTCGTGCTAAAGCTGCTCGTTTTCTGCTTACCTGCGTTTCCGTCAAGGACAACGCCTGCGCTAGTTGCTTCCTTTCCGCCCCGACGACGTAGTGATTTTTCTCAAAAGCGTGCTCCAACTTCAGCAGTTGGCTCGGGCTAAAAGCGGTCCTTATTCTCTTCGGTTTTCTGAATGGTTGAAGCAGGAAGCCGGGTATGTCCGGACCTGGCACAAGGAGAAACAATTTTTCTACATACTTTTACACAAATTGCATTTTCAAAATTTAATCTAATTACTTTCAACTAAACAACTCAGAGTTTGGTTCGAGCCTCCGATAGTCATCGCGGATGATGAAAATTCTCTTGTAGAAAATTTAAAACAAACGTGCGAGATAATAAAGGCTCATAAAGTAAAATTATCGTTGAATAACTGATATACGAGATGTGTATCATTAAAGAGGAGAAAAAATGATGAATCTAAATAATGAGTTAGCGATATGAATCGACGACGCGGTAAAAATAAGCGTAATTCATCGCCGACAAATTAACGCGATAATTAAATTACAACACGAGGAGCTTATTGCAGCCCGCATACAATGTTTTTTTCCTATATAGTCAGACAATCAGTTGTTAGCACAACTGCGGATGGGGAAAGGGGGACGAAACTAAAAGTCCGACGATTTATTAACAATTAATTAATTGTTAATCACGCGGCATGTTGCGTCCCCGTTGGATAGCGCCCGTATTACCAAGCCTACACGGCACGTGGTTCCTTGTCTCTTGGAAATAAATAATCGACACGCAAACTCGCGCGCGCAAATTCGTTCGCGAACTACTTGTGCTTACACGGCAGTTGTGCGTGTGTCGGCGAAAAAAAAACCAACAAAGAGAGAAACATTTTCTCGAGGGAAGGTGTACCGAGCCTCGAGAAACTCGGGGTCAGGTAATTGAGTATTCTACCACGAAAGAGCCATGTCGATCGACCGATAGCCGCGTCTGCCGGAAGTCCACCCGAGATGCCTTAGCGGAAAGCTCGGGGACAATAAATCGCCGCCGCGTCGCGCCCCTCCCGCACACGGCGTTTCCATTCCGACGCGTGACTATACACCTCCTTCCTCTATACTCGCTTATAGCGTGTTTAATTCAATTCCTAGCAATCGGAAACGTAAACCTTCAAGAGAGAGAGAGGGAGAGAGAGAGAAAGGAGAGGGGGGAAGAGAGGCACATACATACGTCCGGAAATAAAATCGATACATCGAAAATAAATCCATTCGCTCGGTTGAAAAAAAAAAAAAAAAAGATGCGTGTAAATGTAAAAAATGCTTTGATGCATTTTGTGGAAATTTTTTTCGCATAAACCCCGTATGTTAAATTTTTCAAATTAACGTTAATTGACAACCAGCAATTTTGAGAACGCGAAAGCAACAATGAAAAAACTTTGCGAGGTGAGGTAAAATTCCGTACATTCTTTCTCTTTTTTTTTCGTCGTACGACGATCCCTCTCGACATCAATTAGCATCTACATGTGCTCGCGGTGTTATTATTCATTGCGGTTTCTAAATTACACCGTCAGCGCGCAAAGTGATCTAAATAAGTCACGCTCAGTAGGTTACATCTAACGCTAACCGGTATATAACGCATACACACACACACGCGCGACCGGCGCAACGGTGAATCGTATCATTTGCATTGCGAAAAATTTATCCGCTAGGATTCTCGCCGCGGCTGACAAGTTAATAGCCCGAACACACAGTCCGGCGCGAATATATATCCTATATCCTCTGGTCATCTGGTGCGTTTCCCATATTTTTGTTGAACGCGAACTCTCAATTACAGCGCGTTGCACACACGAAGAGCCGTGAGCTGACAAAGTAATCGAGAAGTGGGTTAAACGATCGCATCGGACCGATAGTATCGTCGATCGGAGCGATAAATCATTTTATTTAATGCTGTCGATACACGGGCGTACCTATAATTTCGGTGTAAACGGGCGAAGGGATACACCTTCATATCTCTCTAAGTAGATAGTATAGTTGACAACTTGTACTTGATCTCATTTGCATCGCGAAAGAATATCTTGCCGGCTTATCCGCCGGTATATCTTCGCGTGGTCGACGTTACCACAAGCGTGTCGTTCGTTTTGAAAGATCTATCGCAGCGAGTATATAATGCGTGCTGATAGAACTAGTTTGCTTAAGTAAGTAAAAAGCTTTAAAAGAAAATGTTTCAAATATAATCTCTTAGTCACCATTTTTTGCCGTTGTCACTTCAGACGCTGAAAGATCGCCTTGATAACGAGCGCCACGTTGTGTACGTGTACACAAACGTGTGGGTTACCCAAGTGGGATGCACGTACGCGAGCGCATTCTTGTGAATCACGCGGCTGCGCGGCGCGAAGGTTGAATCCTTGACGGGATCGGAAAGCGCCTCGCGTGCGAATAGACACATTAATCAGCGCTATCCCGAGGTGGCGAAAACCTAAGCCGCCTATTCACGTGATCCGCGTGTAATCCGATATAATTCACGTAATTCGCCGTATGACCCGGTTGAACGAATTTACGAAAATGTGCAACACATCGAAGTCGCGGTAGAGAAGGTTTCGATTTTATTATCGCAATTTTATTCATCATTTCGTTCAATTGCATTTATATTTCTCTCTCTCGTCACAATTTATTCACACGACATTTAAACACTTTAAAACGTAAATTGATCTATCGATCGAAACGATAATTCGTTCCTTTCTTTATTGTTTTCGCACAACAAAGCGTCGTTCGGGGATCTGACGCAAATTTGTATCGAATTACACGAGCGGTCGATTCTCCGCTAAGGTATTACACACGCGGTGGGCGCTAATTACAGCGACGGAATAAAGGATCATTAGCGGCGCGCCCGTGCGTGAAGCGCGATCGCTATTTATGTGGGTAATGAATAGTAAATGCGATGACTCTTACACACCGCGCGGACACTCGTCGTGTCCGTACCGCCGCGATTTTCAATGCGCGACACACACTGCTTGCCCGCCCGCCCGCCCGCTCGCTTGCGCGCGACTACACGATTCGCACAAACTGTGTGTATGAAGTAACAATCGCGTTTCGCCAATAATTAATCAGTTAGCACGGACGATTGGAATTAAATGCGCGCGTTTAACGACGCGAGAAAAGTGCGAAACAATAATATGCAAGCAATAAATATAAGCGCGCGCGCTTTTGTAACTCGCAGTTGATAACGCAACGGAAATTTATATACGAACGAAGCGCGTATCGTAACGATTGGTTTCGTAACAAATATATATTATAAGAAAGAACGGCGGTATGTGGTTTTTTTAATCATTACGTTTTAATTGCGAGTATATTACGAGTATTTCATGCAATCTCGTGTTTTCTCAATTAATTTTTCAACCTCTCTTCTAGTTTTCTTGTTCTCTTTCTCTTTTTTTTTTTTTTTTTTTTTTTTTTTTTTTTTTTTTTTTTTTTTTTTAATTCTAATCCTGTAAATCCTGACATCTATGTCCGACGCGATTTATTATTAGTTAAGACGTTGCAAAAATCTGTAAAAATTCATGAGGTTTTATTCAACATTTTTTAATTAAAGAAATAACATTAATTAGTTTCGATATTTTCGTTTCTTTAAAAAAATATACCAAAAGATATCTCAAAAATCGCTCGGATGACAACTTTGGAAGATTACAGGATTAGGGTTAAGTAAAAGTTCAAGTAGAACAATTAAATTGCAACCGCGAGATATATTCGTTCGTGCGATCTTCGAAAATACAGCTGCGAGAGATCGATCTGCGATTTTTGTCGCGGCGATATCGCGATGAACGAATTTGTGTTTCACGGATATATATAATATATAAATATATAATTGGGGCATAGTTTTCGTCGTTAACGATTCCCAAGAAGCTTCTTAGACGCATATATAGCCTAGAGCGCGAGCCGCGCTCTTCGGCGCTTCTTCTACCACATCCTTTTACCGAGAAGAAGAAACGCAGGAAGGAGACGTAGAGAAGAAACGACGACAACAACGACGACATAGCGCGGAGGACGAAGATGCGAAGTCGGACGGCCTGTAATTACCGGGAAGCTTGTGCTGCGGCTTTCGCAGCTGAGACGCCCAGAGCGACTCGAAATTACTCAAAAATAAGACCAAATGGTAAACGTATCAAATTATATCCCCCTCTCCGCACGTTTCCTCCGCGCGTCGGAGCTTTCCCCTGGGCCTTCTCTCGCTCGCACGTTACATACATACTTTGTCAGATCGGCCTCTCGTTTTTCCTCTATCTCCCGCGTACTTCGCCGTCACACAAAAGCCGCTCTTGCCACTAATGCGTTTTTAATTGTCGTTAAGCGTGCGTCGACGATCGCACGCGAAACACGGGTGAAAATGCAAATAAGGACGCACGGGATGCGCGTCCTCGAGATGTTAAAATATACCGTTGCCGAGAGAACGCGATTTTTTATAATAAATTCCCGAACAAATTAAAAGTTTGAGCGCGCTTTGAATTAAATTTGAGAGAAAAAAAAATGATAAATGTTTGAATGAGAAAAATTTTCATTCGTATACGCGCAATAATTTTAGTCGTAAAACAATTTTGACATTTTTCTCTTCTTACACGTATCGTGATAAGTCAATCTATATTGACGTGGAATCACAACGCTTTACTGATTATTATTCTCGACTTTTATATTTCCGTCGTAATTTCGCGGGGCAATATAAGTTCGTCGTTCAACTTTTTCACGAGCTAATTTCGTCGCGTATAACATCTCAAGTAATTAATCGCGGAGTTATTAATTATTCGAGAACAGCCTATTTAATTTCGTTTGCTCTCAGATAATTTCGAATGGCCTATAAATATGATGAATCGTGAATCGGAGAAGAGTTAATTTTATGACGATAGAGATTAATTAAAAGCGGTACAATCAATATGTGTGTATTATTAATTAATTCGTGGCGGATATGTATATATATTTTGCTTTGCACTTTGAAACTGTGATAAAGTTTTGTTTGTCTCTCGATGTGTGCGTGTATATTGGCAATAAAAGTAATATAAACAACACTTAGAGGCAACATAGATATAATTATTGCGCAACGACCAACACATACACACACGCACACATGTATCTCTCTCTTAATAGTCTTATGCAAAAGTGACTAATCGCTTAATATCGTGACAAGATAGATAACATTCTACGGTTCCGTCACATATCTACCATTAAGTAATTTCAT